AGCGCACCTGGTACCTCCTTGAAAGCACAGCTCAGCCACTCCTCCTTCCCCAGGTGAGGAATTCCACGACGTGGAGGACGCAGAGACCTACAAGAAGATGCTGGCGCGCGACGAGCGGCGTTTCCGGGTGGCGGACCAGGACGGGGACTCGATGGCCACCCGGGAGGAGCTGACAGCCTTCCTGCACCCGGAGGAGTTCCCTCACATGCGGGACATCGTGGTGGCTGTGAGTGAGGCCGGCCTGCCAGCGCTTCCCTCGGGAGTTCCGGTCCCCTGGTCCCCCTGGCACCTTCGCCGGGAAACCCAGGCCACAAGGGCCGGTCAGTGGAGGGGTGACATCTCCCATCCCACCCTGACCCCCCGGTGTCACCATTAGTGACAGGATCTGTACCCACTCCTGCCGCGCCTAACGCTGCACAAACTACTTTAAAAGTGTAATTGTGTGTATCTCTCAAATAGGTAACATATTGAGGTGGTTAAACGCCCAAAAGATGCAAAAAAAAGGTGAACAATCTGCTTTTCTCCCATGTCCCTAGCCTGTCGCCCGCAGGCCCGTTCCCAGGGGTAACCCCTTTCTCATGTCTCCATGGCCATGCTTCTTTGAGGGTCTGTGGCAAAGCTGTCAGGGTCCAGTGCCCTGAGGCCAGAGGCCTGGTTTCCAGTCCCAGCCCTGCTGTCCTGGCTGTGTGACCTGGGGCAAGTTGTTTAACCTCTCTGGCCCTGAACTTCCTTATCTGTAAAGTGATGGTGCTGATAACGGTCCCTATCTAGGGTGGTAATAGGGACTAGGTGAGTTCATGCCTGTAGGGCCCTGGGATAAATGCTCCTTAAGTGGTTTTAGACACACGTGTCAATAGTTACAGAGTCAGGATCGCTGGACCCTGGGGATCAGAGAGGAGAGCTGGCATTAACTCCTTACATGCCCCAGCCTGCAAGCCCAATGTCCCTCTTTTAGTGTGACACCTCCTTATTCTCCCCGAGTTAAGATTTATCTAACAAACCCTGACTGAGCATGTTCTGTGTGCCAGGCACCCTTCTAACACCTTTACCTGCATTACCTCAATTTATTTTTATTCATTTTTTGTTCATCTTCACCCAAGGATATTTTTTCCATTGATTTTTAGAGAGAGTGGGAAGGGGCAGAGAGAAAGAGAGAAAGAGAGAGAAACACTGATGTGAGACACATGGATCGGTTGCCTCCCGCAAGCACCCTGTCTGGGGCCAAGGATCACACCTGCAACCCAGGTACCTGCCCTTGACCGGGAATTGAACCTGCGACCCTTCTGTGTGCAGGCCGATTCTCTAATCCAGTGATGGCGAACCTTTTGAGCTCAGCGTGTCAGCATTTTGAAAAACTCTAACTTAATTCTGGTGCTGTGTCACATATAGAAATGTTTTGATATTTGCAACCACAGTAAAACAAAACTTATATTTTTGATATTTATTTTATATATTTAAATGCCATTTAACAAAGAAAAATCAACCAAAAAAATGAGTTCTCGTGTCACCTCTGACACGCGTGTCATAGGTTCGCCATCACTCCTCTAATCACTGAGCAACACCAGCTAGGGCACATTGCCTCAATTTATTTATTTTTCATTTTTAGATATTTTTTTATTGATTCCAGAGAGGAAGGGAGAGGGAGAGAAAGAGAGAATCATTGATCGGTTGCCTCCTGCACGCCCCACACTGGGATCGAGCCCACAACCCGGGCATGTGCCCTGACCGGAATTGAACCATGATCTCCAGGTCCATAGGCCGATGCTCGACCACTGAGCCATATGGGCCGGACAAGCCCCATTACCTCAACTTAATTGTCCGTGGCAGCCCTATGGTGGTGGCCTGTCACCTTTGTTTTGCAGATAAGGATATCTAGGTACAAAGAGGTGACTCTCCCAGGATCCCCCAGATGAGAAGTGGCACAGCCTGGATTTGAACCTAGACCCTTGAATCCATGGCCTCAACCAGGGGTCCGCAAACTAGAACCCATGTCCAGTGAACTAGAACCTGTAGCCAAATCCAGCCCACAGAGTGTTTTTGCAAGTAACGTTTTATTGTAACACAGCCACGCCCATTTGCTTACACATGCCCAACTGCAAAGTTGAGTCAGTTCAACAGAGACTGTACAGCAGGCAAAGCCAAAAATATTTACTACTAGAGGCCCAGTGCACGAAATCCGTGCACTGGGGCGGGCGGTCCCTCAGCCTGACCTGCGCCCTCGCAGTCCAGGAGCCCTCGGAGGATGTCCTACTGACAGATTAGGCCCAGGGAGCAGGCCTAAGCCGTCAGTTGGACATCCTTAGCGCTGCCGTGGAGGTGAAGGCAGGAGAAGCTCCAACCACCGCAGCTGCACTGCCAGCCATGAGCCCGGCTTCTGGCTGAGCGGTGCTCCCCCTGTGGGAGCTCACTGACCACCCGGGGGCAGCTCCTGCATTGAGCATCTGCCCCCGGGTGGTCAGTGTGTGTCATCGTGACCAGTCTTTCCGCCGTTCAGACAATTTGCATATTAGCCTTTTATTATATAGCAGTGGTCGGCAAACCGCGGCTCTCGAGCCACATGCGGCTCTTTGGCCCCTTGAGTGTGGCTCTTCCACAAAATACCACGTGCGGGCGTGCGCGTACAGTGCGGTTGAAACTTCGTGGCCCATGCGCAGAAGTCGGTTTTCGGAAAGGAGATAGACGAAACAAGTACACAAGACGAGTGTGGATGGGAGGGTTGGAAGGGGTCGACCTCAGCGAACGTACCTCAATCAGATTGAGGACGTTTTTAGCAAAGGCCAGCTTAGGAGTACCCTAATGAAGTTAATAACAATGTACCTACCTATATAGTTTAAGTTGAAAAAATTCGGCTCTCAAAAGAAATTTCAATCGTTGTACTGTTGATATTTGGCTCTGTTGACTAATGAGTTTGCCGACCACTGTTATATAGGATCTGGCCCTTTATGGAAAAAGTTTGCCAAGCCCTAGTCTAAACCCTGCAGTCCTCACTCACATCCGCGGACGGTGAGCGTAACCTCCCCATGTGTAGATTTCAAAACATGACTATTGGCCCAAATTGTACTATAAAAGAGGAACTAAAGGAAAGCCACTTATAATAACCAGCAAGAACCTCAGCATGTGTTTTAGAGTTGTCAGATTTAGCAAATAACACAGGGCACTCAATTACACCTGAATTTATTACAAAATTAATAAAATTTTTAGTGTAAGTATAGCCCACACGGTATTTGGGATTGGTATACGTGTATCTCACATACTATTTGGAACATAAGTTTACCAGAAAAAAAAAAAGATATATCTGAAAGTGAAGTAACTCAGCATCCTGTTCTCCAAGCAGATCCCAAATATTGTGCGGGACAGACTTATACCGAACAATGGTTTGTTGTTCCGGGAAAGTCGAATGTAACTGAGAATCCTGTGTTTCATCTGTCAACCCTCAAACGTTGGAGCTCGCCTTTGCTAGAGGACAGGCTGGAGTGTCAGGGAGTGAGTGTGAATGCAAAAATGAGGAACGGAAGCTGTTTGCTCAAGAAGTGAAGGGAAAAAAAGCTGAGAGCAGAGGTTTGGAAAGTGTGTCAAAGAGTACACCAGCTGCCCTGGCCGGTTTGGCTCAGTGGATAGAGTGTCGGTCTGCGGACTGAGGGGTCCCAGGTTCGATTCCGGTCAAGGGCATGTACCGTGGTTGCGGGCGCATCCCCATTGGGGGGTGTGCGGGAGGCAGCTGATCGATGTTTCTCTCATCGATGTTTCTGGCTCTCTATCCCTCTCCCTTCCTCTCTGTAAAAAATCAATAAAATATATATATATAAAAAAAGTACACCAAGTGATGGCGAACCTTTTGAGCTCAGCGTGTCAGCATTTTGAAAAACCCTAACTTAACTCTGGTGCCGTGTCACATACAGAAATTTTTTGATATTTGCAACCATAGTAAAACAAAGACATATTTTTGAATATATTTTTTTTATTGATTTTTTACAGAGAGAAAGGGAGAGAGATAGAGAGTTAGAAACATCAATGAGAGAGAAACATCAATCAGCTGCCTCGTGCACACCCGCCACTGGGGATGTGCCCGCAACCGAGGTACATGCCCTTGACTGGAATCGAACCTGGGACCCTTCAGTCCACAGGCCAACGCTCCATCCACTGAGCCAAACCAACCAGGGCATAGACATATTTTTGATATTTATTTTATAGATTTAAATGCCATTTAACAAAGAAAAATCAACCAAAAAAATGAGTTCGCGTGTCCTAGGTTCGCCATCACTGGTCTAGGCTCTGCCTTTTTTAAAAATTATTTATTTATTTATTTTTAAATATATTTTTATTGATTTCAGATAGGAAGGGAGAGGGAGAGAGAGAGAGAGAGAGAAACATCAATGATGAGAGAGAATCATTGATCGGCTGCTTCCTGCACACCCCCAACTGGGGATCAAGCCCGCAACCTGGGCATGTGCCCTTGACTGGAATCGAACCTGGGACCCTTTAGTCCTCAGTCTGAGGCTCTATCCACTGAGCCAAACCAGCCAGGACAAGACTCCGCCTTTTAAAGGGAAAGAGGCCTCTGCCCTTGGAGAGTGTGGGCTGGGGCATGAGAAAGTTAGGGATGCAAAATCGCTCTTGTGTGGACCAACCTGTGCATCAGGACACCTGGGTCCCGCCCCCCCCCCCTCCCCACTAAGTGCAGGTGGGGCCTGCATTATCGTGGCACCCCAGAAAGCCCCCGAATTTCCCGCATGCCCTTGGGGACAGTAATGCCCTGTCGAGACTGCTCTGCTCCAAGGCCTGGCCCCCCCGAGCCACCCCCAATGAGATCCCCTGAGAGAACCTCACCTCCTGACCCCAGGGGTCCAGCCCTAATGCCTCTTTCTCCCCCAGGAAACCCTGGAGGACCTGGACAAGAACAAAGATGGCTACATCCAAGTGGACGAGTATATCGGTGAGTGGGGCCCGAGTCTGTCCCTGAGGACGCTTGTCCCCTCCTAGCCCGGGGGGCAGCCCAATGCATGATCTCCATTAAGAGAACAGAGGCAGGGGCGCTGCTTGGGTTCATTCCGCCACCAAACATTTGTTGAGTGCCTACTATGTGCCAGTCCCCTCCCCCAGCAAATCCTTATCAAATGCCTACTATGGGCGAGGCCCGGGAAACATTTATGGAATACCCTCTGTATGCCAGACCAAGGAACACATTACCAAGCACCTACTGGGGGCCAGGACCAGGACACACTGCGTGTTAGTGGCCGAGGATGCAGCAGAGACTGTCACACAGTAGGTGCCTTCCTGGCAGGGTCCGGAGTTTCTACAGGAACGGGGCCCGGGCTGCGTTTGCTTGGGATAGGACCTGCCTCCGTCCTTGCTGTCCGGGGGCAAAGAAATTAGTTAAGGGGAAAGCTGTTAAGTATGGAATTGTTAAGTTTTCCTGTTGTTGTTAATCCTCACCCGACGGTATTTTTCCATTGATTTTTAAAATAGATTTTTGTTGATTTCAGAGAGGAAGGGGGAGGGAGAGAGAGATGGAAACATCAATGATGAGAGAGAACCATTGATTGGCTGCCTCCTGCACGTCTCCCCCACCCCCACCACCACTAGGGATTGAGCCCACAACCCGGGGTTAGGTCCCCGAAGGAGGAACGCACGCGGCCAGGGTGGTGAGGGATCACGAATTTATTCCATCATCCGCACACCAGGCGTCTGAGCCTGGATGGCTCCAGCCCCCAGTGACGGGAGCCGGCAGCTTTTAAAGGACTTTTGGTGCCTTTTTCTGGGCGGAGACTTCTCGGTGCAGACCCGGAGGGGAGGTCATGGAATGTGGTCACCACAAGTGAAATGTGGTCTCAGCAAAGGGAATGTCCGCAGTGAAATGGCCTGGAAAGCCAGGTCCCGGGGGAGGGGCATCGATTCAATTGCTTGATCAGACCTAACCCCGGGCCTGTGTCGTTGACGGGAGTCGAACCTACGACCCTGCAGTCCACAGGCCAACACTCTAGGCCAGTGGTCGGCAAACTGCGGCTCTCGAGCCACATGCGGCTCTTTGGCCCCTTGAGTGTGGCTCTTCCTAAGCCTTAGGAGGACCCTAATTAAGTTAATAACAAGGTACCTACCTATATAGTTTAAGTTTAAAAAATTTGGCTCTCAAAAGAAAGGTCAATCGTTGTACTGTTGATATTTGGCTCTGTGGACTAATGAGTTTGCCAACCACTGCTCTAGGCCAACACTCTATCCACTGAGCCAAACTCAGTGATTTTTAAATTAAAAAAAAAAATGTTTTTTTAATCTGCCTTCTGCATGCCCCCTATTGGGTATCGAGCCCGCAACCTGGGCATGTACCTGTCTGGGAATCAACTGGAGACCTCTTGGTTCCTGGGTCGGAGCTCTACCACTGAGCCTCACTGGCCTGACTCCATTGATTTTTTTTAGAGAGAGTGGTTGGGAAGGAGGGAGGGGGAGAGAGAGAGAGAGAACATCAATGTCAGAGAGACACATCCATTGGTTGCCTCCTGCACACGCCCCAGTGGGGCTGGGGAGGGGCTGGGATGGAACCCGACCCTTGGATGCATGGGCCGGTGCTCTAACCACTGAGCACACTGGCCAGGGCGGAATTGCTCAAAGGTTGAACACATTTTTCTATAAAATATTTTTATGGAACAAACAGCAGGCAGGAAGGCACATTTTTGTGTAAGCATAATTTAAACAGATTTTTACGATGGATTTAGAGAGAGAGGAAGAGAGAAACCTTTTTTTTTTTTTTTGCAAGAAAGAACTCGAGCATCACAGTTGAATCATAACAGTAGCTGCCACAGTCTGTGGTGACTGTGGTTAACGTCTTGTAAATTTATTTAATCCCCACGGCAGCCCTGCTTTACAGATAAGGAAGCGGAGGCACAGATGGGAAAATCCTCACGGAGGCCGCCTGCTCCTCGGGTGGAACAGGACTGGAGTCCAGGCGAGCAGACCCAGGGTTCTGTCCTGACACCCACACCATAGGGTCCCTGTGGGGCTCCGGGGGCAGAGACATGGGCAGAACCCCAGGATCCCCCCAAAAATGCAATTTCGTCCTGTTGAGTGGTGTGGGGAAGGGTGTGAAGGAGGCGGACTGCGGGGGGAAGTGGGGGTCCTGACCCAGACGGCGGGGTGTCAGGAGAGGTGGGGGTGCCCTGTGCTTAAGGGTACAGGTTCTAGAGCCACCTGCCTGGTCACCTGCCGCCTCCCAGCCATGTGACTGTTCGTTCACAAGTCCCTCACCCTCTCTGAGCCTCCGTTTCCTCATTTGTAAGTGGGGGTAATGGAGCACCCCCACATAGGACCACGTGTAGTCAACACAAATGCCCATCAATGGATGAAGGGACAGACAAAGGGAGTAGATCTAGCCCAGTGATCGCGAACCTATGACACGCGTGTCAGAGGTGACACGCGAACTCATTTTTTTGGTTGATTTTTCTTTGTTAAATGGCATTTAAATATATATAAAATAAATATCAAAAATATAAGTCTTTGTTTTACTATGGTTGCAAATATCAAAACATTTCCATATGTGACACGGCACCAGAGTTAAGTTAGGGTTTTTCAAAATGCTGGCACGCCGAGCTCAGAAGGTTCGCCATCACTGACCTAGGCAATCAGGTATTTGTTGGCCGTAAAAAGGAATGAAGTGCTGGTGTTTGAAAATCTCGTGCCAAGAGAAAGGCCACAATATTGAACGACTCCATTCATACGAAGTGTCCAGAACAGGAAAATCCATTGAAAAAGAAAGTAGGTTAAGGGGTTGTCGGGGGCTGGAGGGAGGGGGTCCTGGGAGTTACTGCTTAATGGGAAAGGGGTGTCCTTTTGGGGTGCTGGATGACAAGGTTCTGGATGGAGGTTGCATGACATGGTGAATGTCAGGAATGGTGAGTTTTATGTTGTCAGCTTTTTACCCCGCAATGGGAACACACACACACAACTCCCGCCTACCACTGCCATTTCCTATAGGGAATGGTCACGTAGGCCCGGCCGGTGTGGCTCAGTGGTTGAGCATCGACCCATGAACCAGGGGGTGACAGTTCGATTCCCTGTCAGGGCACATGCCCGGGTCCCGGCTCCATCCCCAGTAGGGGGCGTGCAGGAGGCAGCCGATCAATGAGTCTCTTCATTGATGTTCCTATCTCTCCCTCTCCCTCTCCCTTCCTCTCTGAAATCAATTAAGAAAAAAAAAAAAGGAATGATCACTTAGGACAGCGGTTCTCAACCTGTGGGTCGCAACCCCTTTGGGGATCGAACGACCCTTTCACAGGGGTCGCCTAAGACCATCGGAAAACACATAGATAATGACATAATTGTTTTTGTGATTAATCACTATGCTTTGATTATGTTCAATTTGTCACAATGAAAAGACATCCTGCAGATCAGATATTTACATGACGATTCATAACAGTAGCAACATGACAGTGATGAAGTAGCAACGAACATAATTTTATGGTTGGGGGTCACCACAACATGAGGAACTGTATTAAAGGGTCGCGGCATCAGGAAGGTTGAGAACCGCTGACTTGGGACCATTAAAGAGAAAAAGGAAGCAGCTCCGTGCTGGCTGCCCCTGGCCTGGCCCCAGGGGAGGGGACATGGGGCCAATATCGGGCTTTGTCGGGTGCGGGTTCGTAAGGCTGTCGGCTGCGATGTCCGGGGACTCCTCTGTGGAGAACTTGCTCCAAGGCGGCCCCGGGCACCAGGAGTTTTGCAAACATTTCCAAATAATTGAAACAAAAGATCTCTTATTACACCCAAAAGTGTAACGATAAATTGCTATCTTTTTTTAAATTATTATTTTTTTAATCCTTTAAGGATATTTTTCCATTGATTTTTTTTAGAGTGAGTGGAAGGGAGGGGAAATGACAGAGAGAGAAACATCGATGTAAGAGAGACCCCTCAATTGGTTGCCTTCCCCAGGCGCCCCAACCAGGGCTGGGGATCAACCCCACCAAAAAACTTAATCCTTGACCGGAATTGAACCCGGGACCCTTCAGTCCGCAGGCCGACGCTCTATCCACTGAGCCAACCCGGCCAGAGCAATGAATTAATATCTTAAAATATCAGTTTGGCCGAAACCGGTTTGGCTCAGTGGATAGAGCATCGGCCTGCGGACTGAAAGGTCCCAGGTTCAATTCCGGTCAAGGGCATGTACCTTGGTTGCGGGCACATCCCCAGTAGCGGGTGTGCAGGAGGCAGCTGATCGATGTTTCTCTCTCATCGATGTTTCTGACTCTCTATCTCTCTCCTTTCCTCTCTGTAAAAAATCAATAAAAAAAATATATATATATAAAAAATATATCAATTTGGGCAGCATCCCAGGCACCAAAGGGCGGCCAGCTCCATTCCGGGTCAGGGCACCTGCCCGGGTTTTGGGCTTGGTCCCCGGTGGGGGCATGCAGGAGGCAGTCAATGGGTGTTTCTTTCCCTCTCTCTCTAAAAACCAATAAACTATCCTTCAAAATAAATAAAAGAGAGGCTCCAACAACCTCTGGGGAGGTGCTCAGGGTGCGGTGAGCTTTGGAGCAGCCCCTGTTACCCCGCCAGACACTCGCTCACTCGCCCTCCTTCATGTGGAGACCTACTGTGTGCTGGGCTCCGAGCCACACAGTGCACCCAGCATGTCACCTGGATCTCAGTCTGATCAGTTGATCGTTCAGTCGATCAATAAACTAACTGGTCGACCAAGTCCATTTCACGTGTAGCATAATGGTCACTTGTAAACGGGG